GTTCGCTACTGCACTTGGCGTGCTCCGCAACGAATAATAGCGAGATACAAGTTATTTTGAAAGTCATTTTAAAGCAGGTTTTACATGCTTGACAGTCAAATTTTGCAAAAGTATGCACGCTGAACTTACCTCTTCACCTTTATACTACAAATAAAAAATACTTGCGTCATATTATTTTATTGTAGACAACAGTTGGGGTTTTAAAGTATTGTGGAAAACTTCACATGGCCCTAGAATCAAAAATATTCAAAGCTGGTGATTGAAATTTTGTAGACTTGTTCTAGAGGTGCATAATGTTTAAGGTAAAGAAAAACATTTGTCATTTTTGATTCTGGAAAAAAAGCAATAAGCATGCATAATAAGTAAATTATGAGGTTTTGTTTTTCTTTCCCTTTTCTATAATATTTTGACTACAAAACTACCGTTTTATTATAAAAGCCATAAATTTCTGTAGGACTGGAAACGCTATTCTCAACGTAATTGTGAAAGTTAACGGTTGGTATTCATGTAGAATTTCCGGATAAATTAAATCTTTCTGTTCGATTGTTGACTGTTCGTTTCCTTAGATGATTGTTTATGAGTTTGAAGTATGATGTGACATCACAGTTACACTTCTCATCTCAGTCCAATTTACTGTTACTGAAGACGTCAGATAGAGAGTTAATACGGTGTGTTATGTGTTACATGATTAGCGGTGAGCTGGAGGGGCTTATAATACTAAAGTTCAGGGTTAGATACCTGCAATGAGCGCAGCGTTTGAATACCTCATTTTGTAACTTTACGCTTAAAACAAAAACAAACGTTTTGTCTAAGCAAATACATGATATAAGATCAAATTGTTCATAGAGCTAGTCAAACTGACAATGGCATGAAAAAAATGTAATATTTTTTAAATAAAATGTTAAAGTACTTTGTACTAAGATTAAACATAACACACTTCTATAAACTTCAAAATAATCTATTTTAGAATGCACACTGTTAGTGTTCTGTGAATAGTTATCTCTGAGTGCGTATATTACTCATAGCTTTTTTTAATCATTCTTTTCATCGACACAAAACTCATTATCTGCTTTTGTGTATTAATGCTTTCTTTATGCTGTTTATGAAACCAACCTTCAAGGCCACGCTGACAATTACATCCAACGTATTCAGTGTACATAATAGTAATCTCAGGTGTATACATAGAAGTATCGCTTTTTACCACCGAAAGAAAGTCACCTTGATCGTGTACACCTGTGTTTTTAATTGGACGTGGAGACCTCTACGAATTAATTTGTTTCACGTAAGAAAGATAGATTTGACTTCTCTTTAATGTTCACGCAGGTTGTAATTGTCCTTAACAATATTTAGCTTTTAGTCCACCTTGAATGTTTTTTTTCTACTGTAACGTGTGCGTTTAGAACTATTAGGTATATATTTAATTCTCAATCTTGAGTGGGCTTTTTGTTAACTTTGATGCTTGTCAAAACGATTTGAATTTAGATAAGAACGAACCATCACATTAATAAGAACATTCATACAGGAAGCGGTATCAGTTGTTGTGATAGCTATTTCACATTAAAAATAACAATAATAAGACTTACTTTGAAAATAAATTATGCAAATAATTTAAACTGACGCTTTTTATATTTTTGGCATAGTTTCAGTTATATCTTTGACCCTCGTATTTTTCCGTAAATGTTTCGTAAATGATTTGTGTTTTTGCTTCGGTTGGAACGTACATGCTAATTATTATATAACACCCCCCCCCCCCCCCAATAAAATATTATAAAGTAATGAAGTGAATCAGAAATATGTACAACTCAGTGTGTAGAAATCGCGTCAAATTAGTGTTCGACGACAAAATATAAAAAAATAATCTTATGGTTTTAATAACCGTTAATTTACGACACTGCAATACAGTGAGATTATATTACCATCCAGGTACAGCACTGCTACACACTGAGATTAATTATATTACAATCCAGGTACAGCACTGCTACACAGTGAGATTATATTACAATCCAGGTACAGCACTGCTACACAGTGAGATTAATTATATTACCATTTAAGTACAGCACTGCTACACACTGAGATTATATTACCATCCAGATACAGCACTGCTACACACTGAGATTATATTACAATCCAGGTACAGCACTGCTACACAGTGAGATTAATTATATTACCATTTAAGTACAGCACTGCTACACAGTGAGATTATATTACAATCCAGGTACAGCACTGCTACAAAGTGAGATTAATTATATTACCATCCAGGTACAGCACTGCTACACAGTGAGATTATTATATTACCATCCAGGTACAGCACTGATACACAGTGAGATTAATTATATTACCATCCATGTACAGCACTGCTACACAGTGAGATTAATTATATTACCATCCATGTACAGCGATGCTACACATTGAGATTAATTATATTACCATCCATGTACAGCACTGCTACACAGTGAGATTAATTATATTACCGTCCATGTACAGCGATGCTACACATTGAGATTAATTATATTACCATCCAGGTACAGCTCTGCTACACAGTGAGATTATATTACCATCCAGGTACAGCTCTGCTACACAGTTAGAATGATTACATTACCATCCAAATACAGCATTGCTAAACAGGCAGATTAATTACACCGGACTGAGGTGGTTTTATTGTCTTGAAATTTTTACATGCTCTATCGTAATTCCCATACGCTGAATCCGAAAATGATATCCGTTATTCTCCATCACGTAGAGATTCTTCACAACACGTCATAATGCAATACATAAAAGAAAGACCACAACACGTAGTTTTGAGACTAAAAGACGTAGATTTCACACACACACACACACACACACACACACACTCAGGATTAATGAGGTTTCATATTCGTTTGACATCAATGTTCTTCCCTTTTCTTCAGTTTGTTTGTATTTTAGTTAACAAACACAATAATAAAAAAAAATGCTCGTTGTGGTAAATGAAAGAATAATTTGATCTAAGTAAGAGTTTTTGTTTTTTTTCTACCCGAAGATAGAAAAAAATATTATTTTCGAATTACGGAAAATCCGTTATTAAAACCACAACTTTCATGAAGTTTAAATTCGCAGGCCTATGCTATATTACCATCCAGGAACGGCATTGCTACACATTGAGATTAATTATATTACCATCTGTAAAGTACTACCTTGCAGTTTCAAGCGTGGAAACCGCTAACTAGTTTGTTTTATTTACGTTTTTTTCACACATACATACATACATACATAATACAACACACGCTTTCTAGTAAAGATATAGGTGGTTGCGTCTAATTGCATGTTTGAAGACCATTTTGATATTCAGAATAGACTGACAAGGTATGCGATATCTTTATTTTAACTGGCGTTATAGGTAAGATATTAAGGCAGCGCCCCTAGTCATTCTGGAACCCCCGAGTATTTGGCGCCATAGACAGCCGCCTATGTTGCCCACCTTAACGCCGGGTATGTAAGGCCGAATGTTAGTGAGAACACGAGAAGCGTGTCCTGTGTGATATTAAACTTTTACACTACACGAGAACGTATGGCTTTTATAAAATTGAATTTTTGCAAGTTAATTTATATTTCACAAGATACCTACCCACATAAAAATGTGTGTATGATAAAAACAATGTACTCTAGTCGTTCATTTTCATAGTATGAAATTACTTGCTGCTGTTAATATTGTCTTTTCTGTCTACGATTTGTAAATCAAAAATAAAACTTCGTTTTTGTAAAACTCTCGGAACCTACGTTTCTCGAGAATTGATAAGTTTGTTTGTTTTGAATTTCGCGCAAAGCTACACGAGGGCTATCTGCGCTAGCCGTCCCTGATTTAGCAGAGTAAGACTAGAAGGAAGGCAGCTAGTCATCACCACCCACCGCCAACTCTTGGGCTACTCTTTTACCAACGAATAGTGGGATTGATCGTAACATTATAACGCCCCTCAGCATGTTTGGTGGGACGGGGATTCGAACCCGCGACCCTCAGATTGGGAGTTGAGCGCCCTAACCACCTGGCCATGCCGGGCCAGAATTGATAAGAAGGGATGGTATAGTCAATGATATTTTCAAGAACTATTTAATACCCCCGCTGATTGTGACAGTTATCTCGCAAAAAAGTCAACTTGCCGTACATGTTGAGATGCATGGGCTACAGTTGAAAAACAAACAAACTTTAATCACTATTTCTACATGTAAAATCGCATTATGTTCACCTCAGCTTCTATTAAATTATTTCTTCCAAGTGAAAGACACGATTTTAACCGGTACAAAATATGTTTATAATAATACGCATGTATTCGTTATTAACAAGGCTACGTAGGATCAGTTGTTCGATATTTAACTGTGCGTATAAAAAAAACATCCAAAGCGCAGCGTAGAAAACTTGTCCTGTATTTAACAGCAATAGAAGTTTCTTTGTTGATAAACGCAAAGCTACACAAAGGCCTATCTATGCTGTTCTCATTGCAGGGATCTAAACCCATAAAATTAGCGTTGTTAGCGCTCGAACTTACAAGCCGAACCACCAGGGGAGAGCATTACCGAAGGAACCATGAGTGGCACGGAATGTATTCTTGTGGGGGATGAGGAGTGGAAGGTGAGAAGGTACGTGACAAAAAATGAAAAAATACAATATACATCTTACAAACAAGTAACTTGTATTTCACATAAAAGTTACGTTATTGCATACTTACATGAATGCCTGTTTGAACCTGTGGTCCACTACAATTTTTAATATTTAGTGTGTGGGGGTGGCGTCGTCGTCAACTATCGGAGCCAAAAAGAAAGGTGGGGGGAGCTCTGTCTAAAACGTTTGAGAACCACTCTAATAGAGTATGACTCATACATATATTACACTTCGTAATTTAACAATTAAATTAACAGCACATGCAGAAACATAGAGACCAAGTTACGTCATTAATCTAGACAAAATAACATCCTGTTACCGAGGTCACTCTCATGATACCAAGAAGGTTATATGTTTTCCAAAATGACAGAGGCTGCTGTATGGGTAGTTTTCGTAGTTCCTACTACTTTCTGATCTAGATCGTACGTTAGTTGCGCATAAAGCGTGAGTGGGAGTGATGCTCTTATCACGTGCAACAAAAAACAATGGAAAGAAACCTGGGCTAGCAATTTTTTGTGTGTGTGACGAGTATACAGGCTTTTAGACGAGGCACATTAGTTGGCTTAGTGGAGTGTACAGCAGAAGAACACATCTGGGAAGGGTATGGTTTTCTCACAGAATGAAAGAGAACTGTTTACATTAGCAGAAGGAAGTTAGGCGTCCTTTGTCACTAGTGGGACAACATTTGAAAGGAGATGTTTAGTAGGAACTTTTTATATTTTAGCAGTGTTGATATGCCAACATTCTCGTTGTTATTAAAGTGTAAAGGATTAAAGACCTAATGTAATTATTACTGCGAGTTTGGCTAAGGCTTGTGCGATGAAGTGCGCGGAAATTTATCAAGGTGTGCGATGTGTCCGTTTTATATACAGCTAGGTTTTGTTTCGTTGTATTTGAATCAGTCGTACGATTTAGCGCTATAATTGGAGCGTATGCTTCAAAGAGTACGAAAATACTAGTAAAGTTAGTTATTGGATTAGAAATATATTTCAAAGAGCCATGAATTTCCGGACGCTAATGCGAATTTAGTGTATCTAAATACGTTGACTTAGCAAAGTGAAGACGTGGTAAAAAAAAGATGCCGCTTGTTGGTTCTGCATTTTGCTGACTTGTGGATTTCGCTATATTTATTACATAAGCAGTTTCTTTTGTGACTCTTACTGTTTGACTTTCTGCTGTGGTTTGTAGGTGCTTGGTAAATTGTAGTAGCAATAATAGGCCTCGTAGTGACTCAAGGCCGACTAAGATCGTTGATTTTGGTGTATTGGACAACGTATAATTATGTGGTGTATAGGAACGGTCAAAGAGGACCAAAAGGGTGCCATGTCCAGGTGAGCTTAAATAAGATTTAATACATTCGTAGCCTAGAACAACCTATTTGTCTTGCACACAGATATTAACCTGTTTTTATGTTTTATTACAGTAAAAAGTTAGACTATTTTTCCTTTGTTATGATGATCAACGTTTTTATTAAGAGGTGTTTTTATTATAACTAGCAAAAGTACCCGCGCCTAGCGCTACATTTGTTTTTACTGTCTTCACGGAGATGGCTGGACGGTGTGCGTTATTCGTCAGCACTGAGATAGTAACAAGGAGGAAACGTTTAAATGGAGTTCAAACTCGTAAAAAATGGGGAAATTAATACAGTAATGGATATATTGACCCTTCAGGGGCATATACAAGAACCTCTGAAAGTTTCACGGTGATCAGAGGTCGGATGGATATAAAGACAAGCCGCTTTATAATACAGGATGACCCAAAATTGGCTTTTGATTTTAAAATTGAATAATTAATATAATTAAAGAAATACAACCATGCAGTTTTCAACATCTTGTAGAAAAACTCAAACAGTTTTTATTGACATGTCAGGGCCCGGTATGGCCAGATGGTTATGGCGTTCGACTCGCAATCTGAGGGTCGCGGGTTCGAATTCCCGTCACACCAAACATGCTCGCCCTTTCAGCCGTGGGGGCGTTATAATGTGACGGTTCATCCCACTATTCGTTGGTAAAAAGAGTAGCACAAGAGTTGGCGGTGGGTGGTGATGACTAGCTGCCTTCCCTCTAGTCTTACACTACTAAATTAAAGAAGGCTAGCGCCACAAGAATTGGCGGTGGGTGGTAATGACTAGCTGCCTCCCCTCTAGTCTTACACTGCTAAATTAAAGACGGCTAGCGCCCAAGAATTGGCGGTGGGTGGTGATGACTAGCTGCCTTCCCTCTAGTCTTACACTGCTAAATTAAAGACGGCTAGCGCCCAAGAATTGGCGGTGGGTGGTGATGACTAGCTGCCTTCCCTCTAGTCTTACACTACTAAATTAAAGAAGGCTAGCGCCACAAGAATTGGCGGTGGGTGGTGATGACTAGCTGCCTTCCCTCTAGTCTTACACTGCTAAATCAGGGACGGCTAGCGCAGATAGCCCTCGTGTAGCTTTGCGCGAAATCCATAACAAACAAACAGTTGACATGTCAGTAGATTTCTACGAGTGTATCATTCTCAGCACGTCTAACTGATATTTGGTTTTAGTCCATGATCGCTGCAACGTGCCCACATTTACACTGGCGATAGAATCCGTTATCCTGGTCTTTAGCTCCGTGATATTTCGTAGATGTACGATACATGATGGCCTTAAAATACCTCCAAAGAAAGAAATCTAATGGAGTGATGTCTGGCGAACGCGGAGGCCACGAAATTGGCCTACCCCCACCAATCCATCGCATTAAGCTTTTTATTGTATGGTTTCAGTTTTACGGGGTAACACTCTTCACTGGAGTGAAAAAAAAATGCCAATAAAAACTGTTTGAGTTAGGCTACAAGACGTTGCAAACTGCATGGTTATATTTCTTTAGTTATTTAATAATAATTTTTAAAATAGGAAAGTTAAGTGTTCATTGCCTTGATTTTTTTCTTTTGTCCCTAAGGTAATCTGAGGATGGTTGAGGATATGATAACCACAATTACCAGGTCATTTTTCCAAGATGTGTTTAAAAATTACTCCTTTTTTAATATATACAAACAAGAAAAGTCATAATCGGAAAGTTGTTGGAGTTGATCTTGGTGTTGGCATTAGCGTTAAACGCCGTCTAAAAGAGGTACAAGAAATGCTCTAATGAATTTTAATTTGGACTTCTTACTGGCCAGTTCATGACCTCTTCAGTTTGTTATTAAAGTAGTCCTTGATAATATCGCTAATTTCACACCAGACAATGTCTTGCATCAGGACAAAGTCTGATCCGACTACATACGCCTTAGGTCATACAACTGTGCCAAGTACTAAGTTAATATATCGTCGCACAGTAAATCTGCCTTTAGGAAGTTCGATAAGATCTATATATCTCTTGCTAATGATGTCTTCTCACAACATATATGTATAAACTACTATCAGAATGTTATATTCAGCTAAGGTGCACTGAATGTATCGTTTACCTCTGGTTTTCTCGATACGAATCTATCAACTATTGGTAAAGACATGAACCAAATGTGAATGAACCAAACTCACAGTGAATTTGCTGCTTATTCATGTGATCTCAACAAAAGTCAGAATAAGTCAAGTGTGGAGCTGAATCGAGTCTTCTCGACCGTAAACTGGACTCGTGAAGTGTGTTCCTTACCCTTTGGTCATTGACAATCACCCAAGTTGCTTTTGTGGAACCCATAATGGGTTCACGGACGGTAAACTGGTTTTCATTAAGTTGATGGCAATATTATACATGTATCTGCCATTACGTGACATGTTTGACCCGTCTGTGGCCTTTACTGCATGGGCTTCTTTAGTATACAGTCCATTTGTCCGATAGTGGACCAAAATGAGCGTGTTTATCCAAGTATTGAAGTACGTTTTGTAAAACTCACAATCAACAGGTAGCGTTGTGACACATTTATACGATAACAATAACACAAATTGAAGTGAACGTCATAGTAAATTATCAACTCGGAAGACAAAATGGGTTAAACCTCTGGGGCAGTGCCCTCCCCCATCCCGAGTGCCTTTTTACCTTCACATATGGGCCGGACGTGGCGTGGTGATTAATGTGCAGGACTTTGGATCCTGGTTTTATGGTTCGCGTTCTATTGCCGCCAAAACTCCTGCTTCGCTGTCTGTGGCTTTGTGCGTTTTTAAAGTAACGGTCAAATCCCAATGTTCGATTAATGTAACCCAAGGTCTGGTCGTGGGTTCTCTTTACTATCTGCCTTCCCTCTAGTCTATCAGTTTGAAATTAGGGTCGGTTAGTGCAGGTAGCCCTTGTGTAGCTTTGCGAGAATATCTGAAACAAAACAAATTAAAACTTTGAAAAAACTTATGGTGTTTTTGTTTGTTTGTTTTTTAATTATGCACAAAGCTACACAATGGCTATCTGTGCTCTGCCCACCACGGGTATCGAAACCCGGTTTCTAGCGTTGTAAGTCCGCAGACATACCGCTGTGCCACTTATGGTGGTATTCGGTATTGTACAAAAAATTTCTTTGAATACTAAATCCTAGATGTGTGTGAACTGGTGAGATTTCTTAATAGAAAAGTTATTGTACCAGACTAAACGTGAACACAACATTAGTTTTATGAATAGAAACACAATTTCACACTAATTATACGTTAAAATACAGCAGATGAGGTTTAAGATTGCTGTCCTATTTGCTATTAGGAAACGTAATTCGTTGATATATTATTATTATTTCTGTAGACCAACAGGTTTTAGTAAAAAAAAAATGTTTTAATTAGTATATAAGTATTTGGTAGATAACTTAGCTTTTCGTATTATTTATCTTATAGTATTCCTTACTGATTATAAAGTACTGGAAAATGAATCATTTGTTTTTTTATACAAAACAAGCAATAATATATTCTCAGATAGGGTTTTATCACATTACACATAAACCAGCTAACATTAGATATATATAGATAATATTGTTGCGTCAGCGAGGTCACTTGACTAGTATCACGCCACGTTCTTCTAGAAATATCCTGTTCCTTCATGAATGCTCTAGTGTTTACTAGATATGTGTTAGTCTTGTATATATAAAACTGTTACAAAGTGACGGGAACAGTGTGTGTGTGTGTAATTGAACTGAGTATTGTTGAGCACGAGCACGTGAGACGTTCGTT